AAAAATAATCAATTCTATATATACTGATATCGATATGTCTATTATTTTGATCTTAATCTAGTAATCACGCTCATGTCAAAATGACGTAATTAATCAGGACATTCTTACTACGCACACCCGGATAACTAATTTACGCATCTGAAAATACGTAGGTTTGTGCGACAGTAGCTAGATTAGTGCAATCTATCTAGAATTCCTCATTTATGTATGCGAATCAATTCTCTGTAGTGCTCAACCAACGAGACACACAGTTCATCACGACAAAATGAAAAAATGTTAGCAGGAATATAAAATTTGTAATAGCCTTAATTTTTAATAACTATATCATTTTAAGGCGCTGACACATAAATTATACAATCTCGCTGAGATTTCTAGATACGCATGTGCTTTTATTTTAAAGGTCATTAAATCTATAACGGATGATTTTTTTCAATGTCAGGTGATATTACATTACGGATCATAATAAAACAATAAAAGCCTCAAACTTTTTTTTTTGACATTTCAAAGGTACAAAATGTTATCTCAGTGGGAAGAAATAACAAAAAACTTTTCCGAAATTTTATATCCCCTTGGATTTGATTTAGTTAAAGCATTTCCCGCTCAGAGGTATCATTTCCATCTATATCCTTTACATTTTTTTATCGATTTTTTATCTAAATTTTTTTATACTGATCTATGCAAACGTACCACAAAGGTATAACTCAAATATATCACCTGCAAGTTCATTGGCACCGTTACCAACATATTTCCGGACATCAACTTTATCGATCATTGTAGGAAATACTAAACTTTTTTGGCCAAATTTTCTAAAATTTTATACAAAATTTTCAAACACCACGATTAAACCAACTAGAAGTAAATTCAGATCAAATTATAGTATAAACTCATCGTCATATGACCAAGATGATGACCTTGAAAGATCTAAACAAAACAATCCTCTTGATTGGTATACCATCCAAAGCATCACTTCAGCTGTTAAACAATTAATTTCTATAAATAATATTTCTACTGGACATTCTGATATAAAATATGATATAAGATATACCTTTGATTCTGATGAAAAGAAATTTGTAGCCTTCCAACGATTGGCTCAAGATGCTGGTTTGGCTTATTATAATAGAACTTGTTTTTTGTGCGTTCATAAGGAATTTGGACCCTGGTTTGCATTGAGGGCCGTTGGTACGTTTCTTTTTGATAACTGTTAATTATTATGAATTATTGTCACAGCTGATACTGAGATTGGCCGATGTTGAGAATAGAATCTATTTTTTGGATCTAAGTTAGGATTTAGGATTAGAGTTATAATAAAAAAGTATATGTGGATTTTAGGTGAATTAGAAATTCCAAATCTCAACGTCAGCCGACATCAGCATCAGCAGTGACTGTTACTGTATTTAATATAATATACATGTACGTTTTTTTTGTTCGTACTTTAGTAACACTCGATATAGAAGGTCCAACAGATGACTCGTACCTATTTCCACCACTTAAAAATCCATATCCCGAAGGTGATGCACTGCTTAAATTAAAGATGACCAAAATTCTTGGAACTGAAATTCATAACTATCATCAACCTGCTGAAACAAAAACAAGTTTGGATAATAATATAATCCAAAAAAATTTTATGAATTCGCGGGATAATACGGAATGGTACGAATGGGTAGAATTAAGAGACATTGCATCCGGATTTATGACTAAATATAATTTAGAAAAGTATAGATACTCTGAAGAACAAATAGAATATCATTATACTCATAATTTGAAATTGTTACAAGATTTATGTAAAAAGATTTCTTAAAAAATTTCTTTCTATATTATTCGGTTAAATAGGCTTTATTAGATTAAATACTCCAAATATTGACTATCAATATTTTTATTTTATCACAAAAAAAACTATATTATTCTCATTATTAATATTTTGTTCTTTTTTGGCAGATATTTCGTTTTTACTTATTATATGCAATGTTTTCAAAGTACAGTCGTCCCTTATTACTTTACTGAAATTTGCAACTTTAATACTACTTGTAATTAGATATAAAGTAACTATATATATAATTACTTTATAATAGCTATAGTTTTACATTTACTACATGTTAGCAATATGCCTACTACTATTTACTACTACGTTACTACTATTTTACTATATTTTTACTACAATTTTATTAAAATTTTTTTATAGAACTACTATTTTACTATATTTTTACTATAATTACAAAAAATTTTTTGTAAAATTATAGTAAAAATATAGTAAAATAGTAATAAAATAATAGTAACATAGTAGTAAGTAGTAGTAGACATTTTTTTTTCACTTTGGCTATCTTGCTAGTGATCCTTTATTAAGATTATTTTGTTTCTGGTGTAACAAAAAGTTGAGCTTAATATTTAGGCCTGACATTTCACAAATAACTGGTTATACTAGGCAAATCTATCTATAAAAGACAAATTATGATGAATTTAAAAAAAAATAAATTTATTTATTTCAGAAGGTTTTATCAGACCATTACTCTACAATAGAATATTGTCAATCTGATAATATCTTCTTATAGTAAAGTAAAAAAAAACAAAAAAATACTAATATTAATACTAAAAAAAAGAAAAAAAAGAAAAACAAGAAAAAATATTAATATTAATATGAAAAAAAATGAAAAAAAAATGAAAAAAAAAAACAATTTGACAAGTTACAATTATAGACCTGTGTTAGGCCTTAAAAATTTACATATTACAAAATAAAGAAGTTCTGCTATACTAAAACTTGAATATCTTAATGCATAATAACTATATAGTAACAATGTAGTAACTATATAATTATTATTAAATTTAATAGTAATTATATAGTCATTATGCAGTTATTATATATTAAGATATTTAAGTTTCTATAAAGTATATCAAATTTTATTCTAATAATATGTCTATCTATTTACAAAACAAACAAAAACTAACAGATTTAAATTAAACTAAAATAATCTAGATAGAGTATTTAAAAAAATACCAGTAATCTCAAAGTATTGTTAAACAGTTTTTCTAATTAAAGCATATAATCTACTGTATTTATATTATTATTCAAATATACTTAGTTGTTTACTTCAGATATTCAGTTATTTTTATATTTATTAAAAGTAAACAACTTATTTTAGAAAATAAACAATATTAACAAAATCCTGAAGAACTCTGATACAACTCAGATCTAAATTTATATAATATCAGCTAAATAAGTATATAAAATAGACTAAAATTTAAAAATTTACTATATAAAAATGCATCGTTTGATGAATTTCTATACAAATTTTCTTTTTTAATAACATTTAAGTTATATTAAAGTTCTTCAGATCTTATACTAACTGTTTTGAAAAAATATATATTTATCTTTTAGAAAGAATAAGCTAAAATATCTACTTTTTTGACAAAATTTACTTGAAAAAAGTGGTGAATCAATAAAGCTTTGTGTTTTTTTCTTATAAATTTTACAGTTATATAGTAATACCTAATTTTTTAATATTTTAGTAATAATCTAATTATTCTGTATTCTTAGAATAACTTTCTAGTTTAGATGTCAACTATAATTGAGAAGTTTGCTGAACAAAAAGTTTAACTTTTATAAAAACTATATAAGTAGTTTTATACTCTTGTTAGAGAGTATCTATAAATAATATTATACAAGAAAAGAAGAGGAACTTTCACAAAAATAATATTTTTTTTACATTTTTTGCTAAGGTAGAAAGGGGTCAAAGGAAAATAATCTAAATTTTTATAAAAATATTAATATCTTATGAACCAGTAGTCCAAATTGAATGAATTTGGTACTATTAGATTCATCCTAGTGAGAAAAATCTAATGGTACCAAAATTATTCAATTTGGATTACTGGACCAAAAGATATTAACAAAAAACTATTAATTATATTATAAAATTACTACAGTATATAAATAACAGTTTTTTGATCATATCTTTTAATTTAATAATCCAGATTTAATAATTTTGATATCATTAGATTCTTTTCATTGAGACAAATCTAATAGTACCAAATTTATCTAATTTGGATAATTGGATCACAAGATAATTAAGATTTTGTAAAAATTTATATATAAATATACAGATTTTTAATTCTTTTTTATATAGTCTAGGGGTCAGAAAGTTCTATGTGAGAGTATATAACATTATTTATAAATACCTCTTACTTCAATAATAATATTTCTATTTATATAGAGCCAAGTATATTATTATCTTTTAATTTTTCTATAACAATTTTTCATAGTTCAGTTTTTTAGAATTATTAATTAGAGGATTATCAGGAAAAGTTGTTTTATTTATTTTTTATTTCTGATTAGTTTTTTTTTTTTTTAATGTTAAGGTGACCACTTGGGGGTCTGGCATGTTTTACTGACTTTGGTTGCAAATGTCAGAGTAGCCACAGGACTACCCCTGACTTTGTTACATTAACGAAGATATATTCTAGTTATATCTGCACCTTTTGAGCACCTAATTAAGTAGTTCTCTTACTAAGTACTACATTAGATACTGTACCTATAACCTACTATTACTTGAGTTACCCAATTAAACCCTCTGATCAACTTAGCGCCGTTGAATATTCTTTCCAAAGAGGAACTGCCACTAAGGCCCCTTAGGACTAATTTATTCTTGTGATAAACCTACTAGAGCGGTTCATGTCCTACAAACATATATCACCTAGATTTTGGTAACTTGTGTCTAGGCTGAAACCAAGTACTTGCAGTATTTCTCTGCTATTGTTACTTACTCCTTGACCTTGCAAAGTTCACACAAACTTCAGCACACACTTTACAGACTATCACCAGTACCTAAGTTTCGTCAGTAACCTAAACTCCCAATCCAGATAGCCTGGAAGGGCTCTGACCTACCCCTAGTCTCTATGGTTGTATTCTTTTTCTCCAGTACTCAGCCGGCAGCCTAGTTGATATAGTGTCTTGCTAAACACCTATCCTTATCCAAATTACTGAAATTGGTGTCCTGATCCCTTAGATAGCCTTTTATATAGCACTGTTAAAGATCTGTTCTACCTCTCTACTCAGGACTTGCTAAACAGGCTTCTGTGTGCCCTAATACCTAGATTTACCCAGCTGTTTCACTTAGATTTTGTGTAACTCATACATCACACTACAGTTCCACAGCTTCCCAATAACTCCTAGTACAACCAAGTTTACAGATCTGATAATCTATCAGTTTATATATAGTCTGCCATAACACATTCTGTAAAATTTGAATTTCATTGCCAGTAGGATTCGAACTCTCATTCTGCTGCTTGGGGGTGTGACAACTTGACTACTTCACTAAGTTGCCACACCCTTTTTTTTTTTTATTACTTAAGGCGAGGTCATACCTTTCATCTTTATTAATTCTTTAAGTTATTATACATTTCACATACAATTTTACTTAATAAACTAATTTCTAACTCAAGACTTAGACTACTTTATTTGTGATCATAACCTACCAAAGTATTCTGTATCCTACTTACATCTTTATCTGGATTTTGTGTTTCACAACTAACTAATTCTAGTTACTCAACTGTATTCTCCCTATGATTCACAATCAAACCTCAGTAACTCCCAATTTGGTTTACTCAAGTTATCGGTCTTTAAAGGCCTTCTAAATTGGTATGCCTGCAGTAGAAACGAAACTCACATCTATAACTACTCTACATTCACCTTCTACTGGTTCTTGTCCATCTCTGCAGGTCTTAATATTTCTTTTTTGGTATTTTATGTACTGTATAACTTATCTGTCACTTAAGTACTTCCTGTTATGGTATTCATTAAGAACTTGTTTCGAGACATATCTCTTCTAGCCATAGATCTTTGTTGTACATATTGTATAACTTCCAGTTTGAGGTATCTCAATCCTGGTTGGTGTAGTATTCATACTGGTAAATTCTTAACTCTTTTTGTTATAGACTTCCATATAGGTGCGACCAGAGCCTAATTTGGTTTCTTTAGTTGTACAGAGACAGGTTACATCCTCTACGCTAAGTAACTTTTCTAAATTAATTGTTCCGCAAGACCAGAAGTGCTTTCAATTTCAGTTAAGATATAATCCTTTACCACAGCCCATAATCATGTATCACCACTTCTCTTACTATTCCAGTTTTAGCTACTGTCGTATCACCCTTTCAAGCAAGTATCTACAAGTTGGATACAGAGATGTTAGTACAGCCTCTAGGTCACCCTAATTGAAGAACTAATTTGCACAATCTTCATGTAACCTAACCTTTTGTAGTACTGCACTACATATAGTGCATATACTCCATGACCTGATCTTCTTCTGAGAACTTTTTATTCTGGTTTCGTATTGTACTTGGACTTTCCACAGGGCTTCACATTCGATTTAATAGCTCCTATAAGTTATAGAAGCAAATTTTATTAAAATTTGCCTCCAGCCCGACTCAAACTGTTGACCTAGTCTGTAGGAGTTTGGAAGCTTAAATACTAAGCTATAGAACCCAAACCTTGTTGCCACACCCTTTTTATTTCTGATTAGTAGATATATTATTAACATATAGTAAATATAAAATTACAATTACTATAAAATACATATATAGTCACTTTATATATAGTTAATTACTAGTAATATTAAAGTTATAAATTTGTAAGTTTAAAATAAGAGCGTTATTTTATAATGACCTGTTACCATGGTGACTCTGTGATCGACTAATCAAAATTGATTATATGATCACACAAATTTATTTAATTTTTATTAAAAAAAAATTACAAAATTATTATGCAATAAATATCATTATATAATAATTGTATAATATATGTCATTACATAAT